TTGCTGCAGAATCATTATTTCAGTCTTGTTAATATTTAAAGTCAATTGCCACTTTTCACAATATTTTTCTAAGTTGTTAATAACACACAATCCACGAAATTACAAGATTTTAAGTTCGACTACAGGCGGAAACCCAGTTGAAATAGAACAAAAGAATCGAATCTCTTTGTTAGAGAAGGCGACAAATGCTTAATAGAAACAAATAAAATGACTTTCGGCTAAATTACGAAGTATTTTATCATAAAAACACCATTTGCATAAGTTTTGAATTTATCTATTACATAATTAAGCAGAACAATTAGATATCAAGTCAACGACAAGGGCGTCTATTCAGTTGGATCTTAAAAATGCATAACCTCCGATTTAAAAAAAATACCACGGACGGAGAACATATTAATCCATTTGTTCCTTAATTTTTGTTTCTGCCCTTCCATTATATAAGCGTGTGTTATAGGTCCACTTCGAAGTACAAACGATCTAAATTTTCCTTTTAGAATCGAAATAAATCTATCATGCCATAATCTATGCTCATTTTAACATGGCTATGCATTATATTTGTCAACATTTAATATTAGCTCGGTATTAAATGTTGACACATATAATGCATAGCCATGTTAATTGAGCATTGAGCATGGCATGATCGAATTATTTCTTAATTCTAATATGACGTCCCTATTACGCTTTGTAAACAAAGCCGTGTTCTAATTAGCACAAAAATATGTTTGACACATGCGTATTAACTTACTATTTGCATTCTCGTTGTTTTCATTTTTATCTTCATAAAATTCATATGTTTTAACTACTTACATAAAATTTATCAGTTATTGATGTAAAAGATCATATGATTACCCTTTATTAGTTTTTAAAAGCTTATTTGATATGAAAATGGCTGCAACCGACAGCGTTCTTTATGGCTGTTTCGTCCATTTAGCACACCTCCCATCTAAATGCACAAGTACGATGCTGTCAAAATGTATAGCTACACAGTATCGCCGTTGAAAATTGGACTTAAAGTAGATTATAAAGGGTCATCTTATAATATTACAGACCACTTTATGGAACAAAATGCTGTCAGGCAGTATATAATCCAATCTATGGCTGATGGTGGAACATTAAGGGTGTTCAGACATGAAATATGTGATGTCAGAGTTAGTTCCTCATTCTCTAAATTGACAAAGGAGAGCACATTTAATTTCGAAAACAATGAAAAGTCTCAGTCTGATGAAGAATTTTCTCAAATTGATGAAGACTTACCTACTAGTCTACATGTATTAACCAAGAACCACCAGCCAAAAAGCCCCAGTTTACGGAGCTGCCTAGCAAGGAAGAAATTGAAAAGTTAGCACTGGCCAGAACTGAACTAAGAACCAACCAGCAGACCGTTTGGAGTGTAAAACTTCTAAGAGGTTAAAACCATAAAATGCAAAAATATTACAATGGAAAGAAAATACAATCATAAGTTGATGGCAATTGGTTTCAATAAAACATTTTATTGATAAATATAGGAAATCGTGAGGTAATGGTAATCGGCAATGAATCAGCAACCTAGCAATATTTTTTTTACCCTTTTCAAACATAAAATTTACTCTTCAGTGTTATGGAATACATACTTAAAAAATAAAATGCTTCGCTGAGCACAGCCTGATACGACCGCAGAGGTTGAACTCTGAACAGTTGGGGCAAGTTTAGAAACAGTATTCAAGATTGATACTGTCTGAATTTGGATTGTGATCAAATTTTTGACTTTATATAGGTTTCTGACACAAAATAAATGTGATTAAAGACCTTAAACGTTTGAAATTGGACATTTTATTTACCTAGAATAGTCTGATATCCATAATCTTACAACATGGTAATATATTCAGAACATTAGAAATAAAAGAAATTTCAATTGCACAGTATTGTACAATACCAAGAAATCTTCAATTGCACAGTATTTGGACAACAGCAAGAAATCTATAACTGCACAGTATTGCACAATAGCACAGTATTGCACAAAGCACAGTATTGCGCATTAACAAGAATCTTCAATTGCACAGTATTGCGCAATGGCAAGAAATCTTCAATTGCACAGTATTGCGCAATGGCAAGAAATCTTCAATTGCACAGTATTGTGCAATAGCAAGAAATCTTCAATTGCACATTGCACATTAATCAGGATTCAGGAATAATCAATGTGAAAATTGAAAATTTTAAGAAGAAAAAATCCCCCCTGTTTTAAGTAATTATCCCAAAACTCAATCCCAGCTTTCCCTTTGTGGTATGGTTCCTTGCAATACAATTACAGAGCGATCCATACACTTTAAACAAGTTATTGTCTGTAAACTAGAAAAATGCTTGTTTTTGCCCCTTTTAGGCCCCTAATTCCTGAACGTTTTGGGCAATTACCCCCAAAATTCAATCCCTGCCTTCCCTTTGTGGTATGGTACCTTGCATTACAATTTCATAGAGATCCATACACTTAAACCCAAGTTATTGTGTGGAAACTAGAAAAAAAAGCAAGTTTTTTGCCCCATTGTGGCCCCTAATTCCCGAACGTGTAAAGCAATTACCCCCAAACTCAATCCCAACCTTCCCATTGTGATATGGAACCTTGTGGTACAATTTCAAAAAGATCCATACACTTACACACAAAAAACTACAAAAATGCATATTTGGGCCCCCTTTTTTGCCCCCAATTACTAAACTGTTGGGGCCATAACCAAAATCAATCCCAACTTTTCTTTTGTGGTATTAAAACTCGTGTTAAAATTTCATAGATTTCTATTCACTTTTACTAAAGTTATTATCCGGAAACCAACTGTCTTCGGACGACGCGGACGACGACGACATGATACCAATATACGACCATTCGTATAACAAGAAAATTCAAAAAATTCAAATGATGCAAATTACAAATGTAGCAGTATTCTCAAATGAGACGTACTTTCGATTGTCAAGATGTCATGAATGTAGAATTGAAATAAAAATATTCCTTGATATGTTTTGTGTTGTACCTGATGTAATAATCTTTATCATATGCAAGCATACTTAAAAAAATATTATAAATAAATTGAAATTTTAACAGTTATGAGCATGCTGAAGTAGTAAACAAAACACCCCAGTGGGGAATCGAACCCTATCCTCCTAAAGATAGGTGTACTGCTAAAAATACTACCAGAGTTTACTGTTTTGTTAAGTATTACAGCAGCAAAATCATTACTTTATTTTCACTACAAAATTTGAATGACAATCACAATAAACATGCGGGTACATGAAAAGAAGACAAGCTGACTATAATGTTTTAGTCTAAATAAAACGAGTGTTAGAATATGTCACTCTAGTCTACAGTACATGTACCAAATATGCACGCACACATGTTTTACCAACATGCTTTTGGCATAAAGCTAAATTAAAACATACATTGAGCAATATACGGATCTCTATTATTTATTATGAATCAAGTCCTTGAATTAAATTATATGCAAATAAAATTCATCACAATTAAATAAAGTATTTGTAAGAATTACTTGAATACGTTAAAAATGTTTCAAATAATTTCAGGTTGGCTAACTGAAAATAAGTACATGTACAGCAGCAGTTTTGAGGAACTGGATGAAATTATCCTAAATAACAGATTGTTCTACTTTTATGCAAGTTTCAGACCAAATTCTTTATTAACTTTGAGCCTTACGGCTCATCATTATAATCAAATACATGTACAGTGTATACATATGGCATATTACAAACAATATTAACTATATACATAATTAACAATAGGTGACGTCAGAAGTTCCATCAATACAAAATATCTTTTATTACAACAAACTGTTTCTTAATTTAAAAGAGAAATGTATATACTTTCCTAAATTACAAAGCTATTTTGTGTTTTCACCGGACACCAATTAAACAAGACACTGATTATTCCAAGTCGGCACTTGTCCGAATTCTATCTGCTATTTCTAGGCATATAACTGGTCCTCCTTATAATCGGGAAATTAACAAAATAACTGACAAATCATTAATGCCATCAAATCATGTAATCACGGGTATATTAAAAATTGAAAAGGGAAGGGAAAGATATAACTGTACATAAAAAGACTGTAGCTGAAGAGGGACGAAAGATACAAGAGGTACAGTCAAACTCATAGATCGAAAACAAACTGACAACGCCATGGCCAAAAATAAAAAGACAAACAGACAAATAATAGTACAGATGACACAAGACAGAAAACTAAAGACTAAGCAACACGAACCCCACCAAAAACTGGGGGTGATCTCAGGTGCTCCGGAAGGGTAAGCAGATCCTGTTCCACATGTGGCACCCGTCGTGTTGCTTATGTTATTACAAATCCTGTAAATAGTCTAATTCGGTAGGTCACATTCGTGAAAAGGGAAGGGTATTGTAGTTACGACATAAGGAACATATCCGATATCATCTGTGAAACGGTTATTCCATAACGGTCAACCAACTTGTGATGGCGTCCGTAAAATTTACGAAGGGATGATTTCAACTTCACCATTTGGAACTCTTGATTTAATAGCTTCCTTGTGAGCGAAATATCAAAATGTCAACTTTTCAAAGTAAAGCAGGGTTAGTTGTTGTAAGGTTTTCTATCAATTTCATCATTTATTTGCCTCAATTAATTGTTAAAATTTGAATGAAAGTGCACCAGACACGCTTACTTAGAAAACGCCATCCTGTGATATTTTGAATTTTGTTTTGCGACCTTTCGTAAGCATGCACATGCATTATGTGCAAAGAATATTCAGTTTTATTCGATCGGTCTTCGCCGTTTTGTTTTGTTTTTTTTTTCCTTTTCTATTTGTATCAATAGTTATTGAAGGCCTCATGGATTAACCTGTCATTGTTAAATGTGTTCCCATGGTCATATAAAGAATTGTATAATTATTATTATTATTATTTACAATGCTTGTATTTTGATGTTTTGTAGGCGTTCCATATATAAATCGTCTTGGTTATCGCCCTTTGAAATTTTCACGGGAAGCCTGCACTGCACTCTGGCTACAAGTAAACAATGTAAGGTTAGATCCTATATTTATCTGTGAAAATCTTTACAAACTAAATCACAGAAACGAAAATTCTCAAAAAATGCACAGTATCCATACCTTTAAACAAAAATTACAATGGAATCGGCGATTCTCAAGTTAACGAGTTCGATGTGATAAGTTTTATATAATGTAATGCATCGAACACTCGATAAGACATTGAAAGAAGATAGCTTGGCTTTTTATAAACCTTTCTGTCGCTTAGATTTATACTAGTAATTAGCATGATTGTCAAAATAATTGTTTGTTTACAACTTTCATCAATTTTTCAGTATATGGAACGCCAAATTAACATATATGTATAGATCATATTTGAGTACCAGGTTTAATTCACACTTTTCTACATAAGGAAATGCCTGTACCAAGTCAGGAATATGGCAATTGTTTTTCATTCGTTTGATGTGTGTGAGCTTTCAACGTGTTAAAACATTGTTTAACAGGTGAAAACTTTGATTAACATGCTTAACTGGTTAAAACATCATATAGATAGTTTTAACACACTTAAGGATGTACTTAGGTGAGGGTTTGTGGAATTCAAAATATCAAAAATTTAAAATTGATACTTTAAGTTAGAAGAGCATTAGTTAAGGAACAAAATAAGCTAAAAATATGGATAGGTCATTGAGCTCCTTTTTGAGATATATGATTTTTAAAATATGGTGGGAAAAAGCTGACTCGGACTTTTACCTAATATTTGCATTGGTATTATATTGGTCTCAAACAGAGATTGGTCAGATTTAATACTTTCAATGTAATTGATTAAATTACAATTACTTTGTGAATTGTACGATCAAATTAAACTAACGATTACACCATTTCTCTATGTGTCGGATTAAATTAATGATTACATTGGCAAAGAAATCATGATTACATTTGATTACAATGAATTTTAAATTTACCCATTTGAAAGATTTGAAGATGACAGTTGTTAATGTTATCCATTCATTTGATGTTTTGAGCTTTTGACTTTCCGTTTTGAGTTTTCCATGGAGTACTGTATTTTGTTATTTTACTTTTTGATATTATTTCGATTTTATAAACAACAAAGATTCACAACATATAGTTGGGTGCAGACCAAGCATTACACATGTTACATAAAGTAAATGCACGTTAATGCTGCGTGCACATATTTCGTTAGTTAACTTCAATTTTAGCGTTTACTAGTAAACACACGTTTACTGTAATTACGTTAACATGGTCAAAATGGAAATTTCTAATGTCTACCTTGGTAAACGGGCATTTACTCTGTGTCCCTTTAGTCCGTAGTAAACGGCCATTTACTTCAGATTTCACAAGTTTATTTTTACGTGCACTTAAAGGTAAAAGGGCGTTTACTACAGATTTCACAGATGTATTTTTACGTGCACTTGAAAGTAAACGTGCGTTTACTTTTCGCGTTAACTGATTGTGAAAATTTAGAAATAAACTTGGTGTTCATTTGTACATTTATTTTATTAAAACAACTTTTATCTTAATATTTTACGTATATGTGTTTCAAACCAGAACAATTCAAAAACACTTTTAATTCGAAATATTAACTTTTATTAATTACAAAAAATCAGTTCCAATAACTTTACTGAGTAGCAGATTTTCTATATTTTCTTTTCAAAAGTTACATGTATAAATATCGAGGCGGATAGAAAGGTTATCCAACACATCAGAAAAATATTTTTATATGATTGGATATAAACATCATGATGTACGTTGTTGCTTCGTTCCCCATTTTAAACAGTCTCTTCCTAAATATAACTCTATGCATTTAATACATGGATTTTTAATCGTAATTCACCTTGTTTGCCTTGGATTTACATGATTTAAGATTCTGTTTTGTCAAATGTTCAAACGAAAATTGTACAGTGTATATATAGGGATATTAATAAAGTGTTGTATAAGTATGTATATTTGTACCATCTCGTCAATTTTGACCGTAACGATTGTAGATGATATCTGGGACGTCCGAAAAATATACTCGATCTGAACATGAATGAAATATTTGCCCTTGGACGTTATGCTACAAACAAAATCAATCAACCGACATATTATATTAACAGTATACTATTCCAAGAAGAGAACTTCTCATACTTTTCATTATAAAGTACATGAATCAGTCATGTCAGTATTGGATGTGATGCCGTTAAATAGTTTTGTTTTAAATACAAACCATTATGAACTACTGACTTTATTGACAGTTCATTATTATGGATACAGAGAGAAAATGATGGCACTCTAAATTGATGTGGACAAAATTTTGTAGTCATTGTGTTCCAATATTGCTGTCCTCTTTATTATGCAATCCGTCCTGACAGAGAAATATATCTGATTTACGATGAGGCTATATATATTTACATGATAAATTGCAAATATGGTAAGTTTTGGTTGATGTGGTCAAAAAATTTTGTTATACGATTCATCCTTATGTATCAAAACTACTGATATTTGTTTACGATTCAATATTTTAAATAAAAGGAGGACATTCTGGTACTCTAAATTGATGCGGAAAATTTTTTGTAGTCATTGTGTTCCAATATTGCTGCCATCTTTATTATAATTCACCTTGTTTGCCTTGGATTTACATGATTTAAAATTCTGTTTTGTCAAATGTTCAAACGAAAATTGTACAGTGTATATATAGGGATATTAATAAAGTGTTGTATAAGTATGTATATTTGTACCATCTCGTCAATTTTGACCGTAACGATTATAGATGATATCTGGGACGTCCGAAAAATGTACTCGATCTGAACATGAATGAAATATTTGCCCTTGGACGTTAGGCTACAAACAAAGTCAATCAACCGACATATTATATTAACAGTATACTATTCCAAGAAGAGAACTTCTCATACTTTTCATTATAAAGTACATGAATCAGTCATGTCAGTATTGGATGTGATGCCGTTAAATAGTTTTGTTTTAAATACAAACCATTATGAACTACTGACTTTATTGACAGTTCATTATTATGGATACAGAGTGAAAATGATGGCACTCTAAATTGATGTGGACAAAATTTTGTAGTCATTGTGTTCCAATATTGCTGTTCTCTTTATTATGCAATCCGTCCTGACAGAGAAATATTACTGATTTACGATGAGGCTATATATATTTACATGATAAAGTGCAAATATGGTCAGTTTTGGTTGATGTGGTCAAAAAAATTTTTATACGATTCATCCTTATGTATCAAAACTACTGATATTTGTTTACGATTCAATATTTTAAATAAAAAGAGGACATTCTGGTACTCTAAATTAATGCGGAAAATTTTTTGTAGTCATTGTGTTCCAATATTGCTGCCACCTTTATTATACAATCTGTCCTGACATAAAAATATTACTGATTTACTATGTGATTATAAGATTTACATAATAAAGTGCAAATATGGTCAGTTTTGGTTGATGCGGACAAATAATTTTGTTATACGAGTCAGTCTGAGGTATGAAAACTACTGAAATTTGTTTACGATTCAATATTTTGAATAAAAAGAGGACATGCATGCTGGCACTCTAAATTGATGCGAACAAAATTTTTTAGTCATTGTGTTCCAATATTGCTGTCATTTGTATTATACAGTTCATCCTGACATCAAAATATAACTGATCTACTATGCGACTATAAGATTCACATAATAAAGTGCAAATATGGTCAGTTTTGGTTGATGTGGACAAATAATTTTGTAAAACAAGTCAGTCTGACGTATGAAAACTACTGATATTTGTTTACGATTCAATATTTTGAATAAAAAGAGGACATGTTGGTACTCTAAATTGATGCGGAAATTTTTTGTAGTCAGTGTGTTCCAATATTGCTGTCATTTGTATTATACAATCCATCCTGACATAAAAATATAACTGATTTCCTATGCGGCTATATAGATTTACATAATAAAGTGCAAATATAGTCATCGTGGTCATGAAGGTCAGTTTTGGTTGAAGTGGACAAAATATTTTGTTATACAAGTCAGTCTGAGGTATGAAAACTTCTGCAATTTGTTTACGATTCAATATTTTGAATAAAAATAGGACATGCTGGTACTCTAAATTGATGCGAACAAAATTTTGTAGTCATTGTGTTCCAATATTGCTGTCATTTGTATTATACAATCCATCCTGACATAAAAATATAACTGATTTCCTATGCTGCTATATAGATTGACATAATAAAGTGCAATTATAGTCATCATGGTCAGTTTTGGTTGATGCAGACAAATAATTTTGTTATACGAATCAGTCTGAGGTATGAAAACTACTGAAATTTGTTTTCTGATTCAATATTTTGAATAAAAAGAGGACATGCTGGTACTCTAAATTGATGCGGAAAATTTTTTGTAGTCATTGTGTTCCAATATTGATATCATTTGTATTATACAGTTCATCCTGACATAAAAATATTACTGATTTCCTATGCGGCTATAAGATTTCCATAATAAAGTGCAAATATGGTCAGTTTTGGTTGATGGGACAAATAATTTTGTTATACAAGTCAGTCTGACGTATGAAAACTACTGATATTTGACTACTATTCAATATTTTGAATAAACAGAGGACATGCTGGTACTCTAAATTGATGCAGAAAAAATTTTTGTAGTCATTGTGTTCCAATATTGCTGTCATTTGTATTATACAATCCATCCTGACATAAAAATATATAACTGATTTCCTATGCGGCTATATAGATTTACATAATAAAGTGCAAATATAGTCAACATGGTCATGATGGTCAGTTTTGGTTAATGAGATCAAATAATTTTGTTTTACGAGTCATCCTGAGTCAGCAAGTCTGAGATGTGAAAACTGTTGGATTTTGGTGATGATTTAATTATTTAAATAAAAGAAGGGCATGCTTGAACTGTTTATTTGTGAAGAAAAAGAAATTTACTATGATTAATTTTCAATTAATTAAAGAGGTGTTATTACATTATTAATTAACTGTAATCGTCAATATGTCAATCGAAAATGACCAGTTGGTCAT